AATTGAACTGGTTAACAACAAGAAACTAAGACACACAAATAATAATGCATTTAACATTTGTTTTCCCTAATGACACATACTGACAAGGAAACATTCATCCCACTTAAAATTTATATCCAAAAGTCAAATGGAAAATGAATCTTGATACTGTAGGTATCATTTTAAGTGTAATGATTTATTCGTCAGGTGAGTGCCTTGAAATTAATGTGTGAGATCATTTTTATGAAGACTTGTAAATTGAAAGTTATAGATGAATAAGTAATATCATTGCCTCCAACTTAGAATAAGCATTTCTATAATGAAGACTCAATGACTCAATCTTGGTATAACAAAAAAAAAAAAAAAAAAGGTTAAACCCCAACCTTGAGGGCCCTCACCTCCCCCCTGAGCATCGTAAGGGAGGTAAATCGCACAATGTGCCCCAACAGGTTAGGGAATAAGAGTTTGCTAGTACACTGATGCCCACAAAGAGTCTAATTCTATATTTCAGGAATCGAACCCTCACACTGCGGCTGCTAATAAAGTTGAGACTACCTCACTCCTATCCTTTACACTACTGGGATATGCCCTGGGGGGCATGGGAGAGAGGCTAGATCAAATCTCTCGTGTACTAATGTTCCCAATTATGGGAATGATAAAATAAAATTCATGTAGTCGACTCTAAATTTATTTGAAAAAACTGCTTAATTTGTTGTTTTTCTAACTTTGCAGGGTTGTATATCCATAAGCATGACTTTGCACCAAACAAGCTTTTGCTTCGTGTGTAGTCACTTGGCTTCTGGGGAGAAGGAAGGAGATGAGCTGAGAAGAAACACAGATGTAGCGGAAATTCTCAAGGGCACACAATTCGCCAGAATTTGCAAGAGTCCAAGTCGTGGAATGCCTGAAAGAATTATTAATCATGAGTAAGTTATACTAATATACTACAGTAATTAATTTTATCACATAAAATTAACACTCTTTCGTGAAGTAATTATTACTTATGACCTTAAATCCAAAATTTTCAGCCGCACGATTTGGCTAGGGGACTTGAATTATAGAGTGGCTTTGAGCTATGAAGAGACGAGATTTCTATTAGAGGATAATGATTGGGACTCTCTTCTAGAGAAAGATCAGGTCGGTAGCTATTTATTTAAATTGCTTTGACAAGATGAAATGAAAAGGACTTCGAGAAAATATCAGTCAATGGACACCTAATGCACTCCTAAGTCTGAATGTCCCATGAGATATTGATATCATGTCAACAATTGAGTTGTCGATGACACTCAACTCATTTACGATTTATGTACATCATGCTTTTTGGGAAATGGAGAAATGAGATGACAAGATTTTGATATATTTTCCTTCAATTCTTTTACAGCTTATATACGTCATGCCCTTTTTTTTCGACAAAAAAGAGAAATAAGGATAAATGTTAATAGAAAATAGTGGACCATTCATTTTTTTCTTCAACACTGTGCATACGAAATCATCCATTCCAACTTATCAAATGTGATTAAAAAAGAAAAGGAAACAAAAAGAGAGGAAAGAGGTGTGGATTGGACAAGATTGATTAAAATCAGATTTTTAGTAAATTTTAATTAAAATTGATGAAATATATTAACGAAGTCTCAAAATTTTCTTGTCTTTAGACAGATTTATTTAATGTACGTTGATAAAGATGTCACGATGTGTTGTTCCATGAGCGGTTTACCTTATTTCATAACTTTAATGGCCTAAATAGGAGAATCTTTCAAAACTTTGAATACTTTTTGAAGCTTAATTATTTTATTCTATGATATAATTATTGAGGTTTGACTCTGATTTGTCGAATACAGCTAAATATGGAGAGAGAATCGGGAAGAGTGTTCAGTGGGTGGAATGAGGGCAGGATATTTTTCGCACCAACTTACAAATATTCAGATAATTCAGACTCCTACACTGGAGAGACTGTTAAATCCAAGAAGAAACGAAGAACCCCTGCATGGTATTGCCCTCCTCCCTCCCTCTATGTTGTTAAGATTTGAAATTTCATTTTAAAAAATCAATTATTAAGAGTCGTAGCACATGTCTTTATAAGTTAGTCTATATTTTTATCTTTATTCGATGTTGGGTTTTATCCCCTAACATACACTTGTAAGATAGTGGCTGGTTTGAACAAATTAATCTTGAAATTCGCGTGCTCATTTTTTGAGTTTTAGAGCCTGTTTGGTTTGAAATAAAATCTAATTTTAATTTAAGTCAAAGTCAAACATTCAATATTAACCACATCTTTCCTGGATCCCATAACTTTTTAACCATACATTTTAAAATTTTCTATTACAATCTACTAAAAAATCTAATTTTAATCCCCATAAAACACCCTCTTAATTAGATTGAATTATTCATTAAAGTTTAATAATTTTTCATACCAAATTAAGACTTATGATTTCATCTTAAAATGTCAATCTTGGAAAGCACAGACGCCGTTAAGTTGGTGTATCGGTGTCGAGAACATACATGATCTCAACACTCCTCGAACATTCTATACTATGTGCTTGATCAACTAATGGGGTGTTGACTTACGTCAACTAATGGGGTGTGGTTTACACGTCTCGTGATGTGTTATATACTTTTAATATTTGAAACACGTGTCTTCACTATGTCAAAGACACATCGAGCCTGATTTTGTACATTTTGGTTCATAGAAGAACGAAAAAACATTAATTCTCAAGTTATTCATGTAAAAAAAAATAAAAAATCAACTTAATATGAGAAAAATTGTAGTAACTTCATGTTTAATTTCGTTATATCTGATGTATGAAATTTTTTATTTATGAGCATATTATTTATTACACTAATTATATATAAAGCACGGTGAATAGTTATTCATATTCAAATATATTTTATCTCCAATATTCTAAATCAAAGCTAAAGAGAGTATTAACTTGTTTAAAAAAACAAAAACAAAAAATTTATATTGTGTCTCATATCATTTCTACTTCCATCCTTCTTAGTAATGTTTATGTTGTGTATTGAATTTCAGGTGTGACAGAATATTATGGCGAGGCAATGGTATTGAACAGTTATCGTACATTCGCGGGGAATCGAGGTTTTCTGATCATAGACCAGTATGTGCAGTCTTCGCTGTGAAGGTGGAGATGAAAAACAAAAATGCTTCAAAATTTAGGAATGGTTTTACATGCACAGGCACAAGAATGGAATATGAAGTGTGTTTTCCTCAAATGCATTGTTATTATGAGTTATAGTTATATGTACCCTTTGAAAAGCATTGTATGTATGTTCTGTGTTTAGGATACAATACTTTTCTCTTCATCTTCTCCCAGAAGCAAATTCACTAATATACATGATTAAAATTGATGAATTAGAACATCCAAAAATGGGATAATTACATGTAATTGATAATAAATGAAGGAAAAATGATTCCAGGGTTCCATCTACTCATTTTTTAAAGACATATCTAAGTTGCATGTTTTATTAATTACATAATTAAAACATAATACAATATAAATTAATAAAATTTGCCCTATTTGGAGATAAGTAGTGCAATGTAAAGTTACACTACGTTAAAGTTGACTTTTTATAAAAGATCTTTCTGAGGAAATTATTTTATGGCAGATTCCTTTAAAAACTCTCGTAACCAAACAAGGTATTTCCAGAAAGTTAGACGTCTTCAAAAATAGTTTCTTAATATCATAAGAAGCTTTTAACTTTTCAAAAGTTTTGCCAAATTGGTTTTTCAATGTAACAAGGTATTCAACTTTCAATTTAAATGAAGTTTATCCGAAGAGGAGATTTTCATCCTTTTGGACATTTATATTAGTCACGAACCTCAACTTTAGCCTAGCGCTAATGTCGACGACCATTGGGAATGACAGAGATCATTTTGGTTGACATTGAGTTTAAAGATGACCACAATGGCAGCCAGCATGTTCTGTCATTTCGAAGGGAATCCTAGAGATTAAATTTTGGGAAGCCACTTTATTGAGAGCTTTCCAAATCGGTTAAGAAGTCTTCCACCAAACATAGGGGACGAAGGGAGCAGCGTTGTGCATGATGTTGACATAATTTCAGTATATTGCGACCTGCGACGTTATTATCTCAGTTGTCGAGTATTGGTTGGGGTTGAAACTTGAAACTTTGAAGAATTGATGTCGAAGTTGAGAGATTTACTTCATATCAAACATAGTGTCATTAGGAGATTGGAGGCAAAATTTATGGAAATTATGTTCCTCGGCCCAAAGACATCTAATCATGTTACTAGGCAAAAGTTGCAAGTTTATTACAAGGGGACAATGCTTTATAAAGGGTCAGTGTCATCAAGTAAGTGAGATCAACAACTTCTCTATCGATGTTCACTAAAACGAAGCAAGGTCAATGAATGTCGATAACATCACCGATCGGTGATCATTAACGGAGTAGCATTGGTGATAAATGATGATATTTATTGATAATTTTGTCCAAAATAACAACATATATTTATCTTAATCAGAATACTAATTGTGATATGATTGATCGATTAAAGAAAAAATTCCGTTAATCATCATATCTTCCATTCAAATTTATTATTATTATAAATTTTCTCCCAACCGCTCAAGTTACTTGAATTGCCTCTAAATTTGAGTAGTCATGTATAATTATTTTTCCAAATCCCCACAACATAGTGGAATTTCGAGAATTAAGATGATTTGTCACGTATTTCATTAGGAGTGGGCATTGAATGGTTCAGTGCATGTTTGAGTTTTATTATAATCTTTTTATAATTTGAAATCAAAGTCGAGCATTAATTGTAATCACAAATTTACAATCATTATAGCATATTATATGAGTTTCATTACTTTTCTTCATTATAATTTTACTAAACACGAACAAAACAAGCACTTAATTTGAGTCTCACACTATGAGTTTTAGGCAATTGATGTGTTGAATATTTTGGATACGTATCATATTATGATATTAATATAAAGTTATAATTTGATTGAGAGATTATAAAACTAATTCTATGATTGAATTCATCTATGTTTGAAAAATGATTAAATTATAATTTAAATCAAGATTCTAAAATGCGTAATGCGAAACAATACGCTTCGGTTGAGCATCAAGTATTACAAGTATATGCATGTCTATAAGAATCATTTACGTAATTATACATTTTTCACTTTTTAATATAATTTTAAATATTATAAACTAATAAAAAATAAAATAATGCATTCTTTGAAATTTATGCATATTCTTCAATTTTTCAAATAAAAATATATATTGCTCAAAATCATAAATACTACAATTACTTAATAATCAATTATTACAATTGGATTAGATACGAACACCGATTTAAAAATCTATCTTGTCTAGCTTTTTATTGGATTTCAGTTTGCTCCTCTTCTTCATCTAAATCATCTTTTGTGTCATTCAAAAATATCTTCTTCATCGGGCTCTTTTATTCAACTCGAGAATTTTTATTATCTACTGTAGATGGTAAGGTATTATTATCAACCAACTTCTCATTATTATAATCATCAATCATCCAAGATTATACATTACTAGCATCACTGGCTAGTAAATCTAGAGGAACATCAAAGAAGGAGGCTTGGGCTCGACGTAAATAGTTCGCAAGTTTATGAAAAAAATTATTTTGATTTTCGATTTTTCTAAACTTCAAAACAATATTAATTGCTGTTATAATTCATGTGCCTGCGTGATTTGGACTAATTTGATATTTCTTGGACTCAATTTGCTTTTTAAGTTACAAAAATGGGTTGGGCTTTGCCGGCTAATTTTGACACAATTTTCAATACAAATGTGTCGACATTTTGGTTTTTATGAATGCAAATACAGTCAATGAAGTGGGTTGATCGAATGATCACGTGCATATCCCATATGCGGAGCGTTTTGAAAACACATCGAGCATATACATACATTTTAGAACACTAATTTAAACTAATCAAATATACTTTTATTCAAATATTCATAAAATTCACGGCTTATAATAATTTATATTTAAATTCAATCACTCCCCAAATTTCCAAACGTAAAAATTTGACTTTGTAGCTAAAGTAAAAAAACTGGACTAAAACTATTTGATTCTCATATTTAACCCATGTTTAGTCTTCATTTCTTAAAGTTCATTATTTTTTCATATTCAATTTCAATCACATATCCATAATTTTTTTTAACTTTTCAATTGATATTTTATCAAAATTCGCATTTTGTAAACACCAAATAGGAGCTCAAGAGTCAAAACTAGACTAATTTTAACTCACAATTGAACGGGCTGGTCCATTTTGATTCTAGTCCAACTTAGGCTCAGTTTGAGCCTATTTTTTGGTAATAGATTTTGTAAGTGATTTTTTTGGAGATAGTCAAGTAGTGCAAAAAATTCAAATTTAAATTAATATTATTAAAAGAATGTATATTTGAAAATAAGTTTAAAGAAAAATGAATTTTTAGGAAACAGAGCCCAGGTGAATTTAAATAGTGTTCTAAAATGCACGCATATGCTTTGTATATGCCCGCATATACTCAATGCAATTTCAAAATACCCTGCATATGAGGTATGCGTGTGATAATGCGATAAACACATTTCCTTGATCGCATATACACACTTAAACATCAAAAGGCACACACATTTGTGTTAAAAATTGTGACAAAATTAGCCTAACAAAGTCCATCCCATTTTTATAACTTGAAAAATGTAAATTAAGCCCAATAAACATCAAAGTAGCTCAAATCATCCAAGCCCATAAATTGCATACAACAATCTGTAGGGAAAAGACTTCTAGAAAAATAAAAAATCAAAACAATTTAAAAAATCAAAACAATTTTTTTTTTTTTTTTAGAGTTCTCCGATTTTCTTCTTGTTTTACTAGCAAGTGATCTTAGTAGTGCACAATCTTGAATGGTTGATGATTGTGATAATGAGGAGGTTGGTAATGATATATTACTATATACAAGAGGTAATAGAAATTCTTGAATTGAAATAAGATAATCTAATGAAGATAATTTTGCATCGGATGACATGAAAGATGACTGGAATTCCATAAAGAGCTAGACAAGATTTAGAGTTTTTTAAGTCGACGTTCATGTCTAATCTAATCGTCGTAATTGCTTATCAAGTAATTGTTGTATTTATAATTCTGAACAATATGTTTTTATTGAAAATTTGAAGAATATGTATAAAGATGGAGTAATTATAGTATTTATGATTTTGAAAATGCATAATTATGCATATATTTTGTATAGACACACAAAATTCTTATAATGCTTAATGTTCGATCAAAACCAAACCTATTGCTATGCATTACGCATTTTATCCATCTCATTATTTCAAAATATATTTTTCTCTTTCTTCTTTTCAACCACACATTATTTATTAAAATAATATAACATGTAAATAAAAAAAAATCTTATTTTTCAATCACACATTTTTCATAAATCTAATATAAAATAATTTTTTTTTTCATAAAATGGGGCTTAAACACCCTCTTAGAATCTTGGGCTCTACTGATTCCAATTCCATTTTCATTTGCCAACTTTTGGAGAGGCAAATTTGCCCAACTAATGCACAGCTTGGCGCGCCCAAATTCTCTATTCAAAACGTAAAGGCACCAACGTAGACAGTTACTTTTTCCATCTGCCTTTTCTCAATCCAATTATCGATCGAAACAAATTGCAGAAGCCAAAACATTTCTTATCTCTTCCTCGAGGTAAGTAGCAAAACGTTATATGTAGATTGTTCTAAATTCTCGTCAAGAGTACATCAATATATTTATATGTTACAGTCATAATTTTTGTTTTTAATTACAATATGCTTTGAACAGTGTTGACCTCACGAATTAGATCCTCCACGTGGCCAACCGATAGCTTTTCCACGTAATCCTCCCTGCGCACAGTTAACGCACGGTCAGATGCACACGGCCGGAACTAATGGGGGTGGCGCCGGCCGAATACACTCTGACGGTCAAGTTAGCTTTTGTTAATCGAAACAGTGCCAAGGTTGTACAAAAATGGTGGGGAGGGGAATGTATATTTACTTGTTATGGAGAGCTAAGTTGTAAGAGTTTCATTACCTTTGTCTCTTGTCAAACCTTAAGTGTTTATAATTGAGGAGAACCGTTAGATGTAGGACATGTGTATGCATCTGACGGTGTGAGGCATCTGCTCATAGACGTTAATCAGCCGCATTTATAGAGTGGACAGGTAAAAACTTATTCAGAGTTGAGTTGACATAAAGTTGATACATCACATCAACTAGACTCATGGAGACGTCAAATCAATTTAAACTTTGAGGGCAGAAAGAATCTTGACACAGATCTCCTTCTGAAATTGGCGACGGATCCT